CGAAACCCAGCTTGTACATCCGGTAGTTCTCGGTTCACGTACTGCTGAAGCCTAGCTTGCAAAATGACAAGAGCTTAATATAAACTCAGGAAACCGAGTTTCTTGAAGCATGAACAAACTGACCACTGAAAAAATGCTGAGGTTTCTCTTAAGCAGCCAAGCTGACTTATTTTCAGCTCCACCTCCGTTCACCAGAGAACACAAAGAATCCACTTTTCCAATACAATTGTCAAGTTTGGGGACCAGCTGTTTTCCCACTGGCAGAAAATCTTGCTTCATCCTAGTTTCTGAACTTTCTCTCCTCCCCACCGAATATCGTGCTAGCAAATCTCTGCTGCTTTAAGATGAGCAAGGCACAGCAGCATCGTAGTCCCTTCTGAACGTGAATGCTCAAATGATTAAAAAAATTGCCAAATGCTACACACAACACACCATGTACAGCGGCAGGTGTGGCACTGGTCGGATGCCATTTTTGGCACCCTTTTGGCCACCTGAAGAATGCATGGATTGTATCCTGAGATGTTCTCTGAATCTTGAGGTCGGCAGCGGTGAGGACTGTTGGGGTTCCAAAATGTTAGTAACAGAAGATCCCACGCAGCGTTCAGCTAGTTTTAGTGGTTTGGCAGAGTAGAAGCATTCAAACTTGCACAAAGGCTGAACTACATTCAGATCAAAATAAACACTCTCCACACATTAGTAAAGGAGAAATAAAAGATAGCTCAGAGTTTATTTTCAGATCTTCATACAAAGCAGTTTCATAGCAGAAACGGTCCTGTGTGCGTGAGTAATACGTTCGGACGAAACCTACATGCTTCTGAATGTAGGCAACCTGAATGGAAGTAAGAAAGCCATGAGGAGGTCCTGTGTGCGTGAGTAATACGTTCGGACGAAACCTACATGCTTCTGAATGTAGGCAACCTGAATGGAAGTAAGAAAGCCATGAGGAGGAGAGGAGAGAGGATTCCCTCGTACCTCGTGCAGGGCCATGAGGGAAGAAGAAAGGAAAATGAGAGAGGGAAACAGGGAAAAGGCGGGCTCCAAGCCCCTCCCACACAAAGCAGCAAAGCTAGGCCGCCCCTCCCTTTGTGCTCGCGTGAGGCAGGCTAGCTTGGAACCCCATATTCTTCCAACAAGGGCTACCATAGGCCAGCTTGAAATTAATCATGATGGGGAGTGAATATGGTGACAGCATGGAAGGGCCATACGACTCAATAGAAAAGGCCCTGGGCTATCATGTCTATCCAGCATACTTCGGACAGCAGCCTACCCTGCAGGGAAATACCTTTTCTCATTGGTCAGCAGCAGCACTTAGGACTTGGTAATGTCCATATTGTTATTGTTTGGCTTGTTTAGCTTCCAACTTGCTTCCTGCTTTGGATTCCTACTGGCCAGACAAGATCACAGAAATAAGCATTACATGAACATAACAAGGGGTTCACTGGAGTGAGTTGTGTGTGCTTAGACACAGACGCTTAAAGGTACGTGAGTTCATCTGTATACATTGAACATTGTATTTGTTCAATGTCCAGAGATGATTGGTTCATTGAAGGAAACCTTCATGCAGTATCCATTTCCCCACTGCAATTGTAATTTGATGCACTCCCTATCAACTGGACATTGATGCCACCTCTCTATTCATTTTCAGGAAAGCCTCTTCCATTGCTGGAAAACTCCTACCACAAAAAGGTTCTCCTGGCGTCCAGCTGGAATCTGCTGGAATCCCCTGGATTTGAGTCCATTTCCTGTCCTTCCTGAAGAACCATGGACAGCCCTGCCCCATCTTGCACAGGAGAGCCCCGCAGATCCTGGAAGAGGCTCCCCACCATCTCCTCTCCCCAGGCTAAGCACACCCCACGCCTCCCACCCTCCCTTCCTCTTCAGGGCCCCAATTCTCTCGGCTGCTGTCCTCCGGACATCCTCTCACCTGTCCACCTACAGTATCTCTGAAGATGCCACAGCTAGTCAGGGCACCAAGCAATCCCAAAACAAGACCTCCCTTGGCTAGACATGAGACTTCCATCCTCGTGCTCAGCTTGTGATTTGCCCATTTGCCAAGTCCCATGCAGCTGGGCAAGGCCAAGGAAGCTGCATTTACTTCCAATGAGCATTAAAGAGGCCTTCCTGAGTCTGTGCCATTCTTGCTTCCTTGGTCTTGCCTGGCTACATGAGACTTGGCACCTCCCTCCTCTGGTGCTACCTGGGGGGCAGTGTGGACTCTCAGCCATGCAACACAGGTCACGTGAATCTTGGTGGCCATCCTGGGATGGCCAAATCACAAGCTGCACGTGAGCCATGAGGGTGACGCAGCTGCGGAAAAAGCCAATGTGATCCTCAGCTGCAAGGATGGAAGTCTCGTGTCAAGCCGAGGGAGGTCTGCTCTGCTCGGTGCCCAGACCTGCTCTGGCATCTTCAGAGGGAGGTGGATGGGCCTGAGGATGTCCAGAGGAGAGCAGCTGAGAGAATCGGGGCCCTGAAGAGGAAGGGAGGGTGGGAGGAGTGGGGTGTGCTTTGCCTGGGGAGAGCCTCTTCCAGGATCTGCGGGGCTCTCCTGCGCAAGATGGGGCAGGGCTGTCCATGGTTGTTGGGAAGGTCAGGAAATGGACTCAAATTTGGGGGACGCAGATTCCAGCTGTACACCGGGAGAACCTCTTCGTAGCAGGAGCTTCCCAGCAATGGAAGAGGCTTTCCTGAAATGAAGATCTTCTGCTCCTGTGGAAGGGCTCACAGCCGCCTGAATGCTGGGTTTGCTCCTCAGGTGAGCATGAGGGATTCAGATCCACATGCAAGGACATGCACCCTTGGACTCTCGTCTGCTGTTGGAAACTCTCAGGGATGAAGAAGGAGAAGAGAGGTTTGCAGATCAGATGGAGCCAAAAAGTCACGCAAGAACCAGTCCAAGGTTGAGAGTCAGAAACCTTCAGCTTCTCAGCATGATCAAAGTCCTGACGATCCAGCCCACCAAATTTCCGTCAGAGATAGAAGGACCAAGTCTTTAGGGAGAAATGTGAAAGTGTTCAAAGACAATTTGAAGACGATCACAGAACCCACATTCAAGGGGAACATCCATGCAGAGAGGATGGAAAAAGTCACAAGGGGACTCTCATTCCTTCTCACAATTGTCAGAGGGGAGAAAACGGAGCTTTATTCTCAAGAACAAGACAAAATGGCCCAGCACAGGCACCCAGCTGTGACCTGAGATGGCCTCATAATGCAGAACTAATCCGAGATTCCTCCAAAGGTTGGAAGGGAGAGCCCACCCTATGGACCCGGGACCAGAGACAACCAACATGGGTGTTGAAAGCATGGAAGGGATGAGAGGCTTCCTCTTAGTTTTCCTCAAAGAATGTCAGAGTCTGCAACACTCAATTCCCAATCCAAGTAAACCCTTTGGAGACTAGATCATTCCAGTAAAGATTTCTTTATTGAGAAGAAGTACACAGCGTTCCATAGATTGCTGAAACTGAAAACCCAGTCTCAGTGTTTCCCTTTTAACTCCCCTCTCTGCGATTTCCCTCCTTTCAAGTTCAAATCCCTTTCACACCTTTTCTTGGATCTTTGGTTAGTCTCACACCTGCATGACCTTGCGAGTTCCTGAGAACTTGATAACTGTCTGTCTGTCTCTGTCTACCTAAATCTCTCCCCCTCTTATTTTATGGCAGGAACCAGCAAGCAATTTGTATAAACTAACATTCTTAACAACCTAAAATCTAATCATTGACATAAATTGATAGTTGATTGATTGCAAGGATCCTGACAAAGAATCCACACTGGAGAGAATCCGTATGATTGTATGTAGTGAGGAAAGAGCTTCAAAGGAAGAGCTCCCTTCTGATGAAAGGAGCCATGCTGGCAAGGAGACCTACAGATATGTGTGGGAAACCTGTCCCCTTCTGCGGAGGATCAGATATTCAGGGATGGAGGGAGCTGATTAAATGGTGTCTGACCTGGAGGGAATATGGAGCTGCGACCAGACTTTTCAGACAGCATCAGCTCACATCATTCCAGGGTTTTCCTACAGTCTAAAGTTTATTGTTTTATAGCAAACAAAAGCCAAGGGAATTGACCCAGGGGAGAATAGCAAGAAGATGAAGCTCCTGAGATTCAAAGCCAGGAGAGATGAGATGGAGAAATGAGGGGGGATCCAAGGAAGGGGAAAGAGGTTAGGGCTCTGCTGGGCAGAGACCAGTAGATCCCTGAGATCATGCCCCAGGAAATGGGGATCCCAGGGTGCCTGGTACATGTGGAGCATCTGGATCTCTCTGAGTCTGGTGGCCTTCAGGCTTGGCTAAGCGCCAGATGGATTTTCGGTTAAGTGGCTGTAGGCGGATGGGTTGCAGCCATTGCTCTGAATGGGAGTCTGTGCTGAGCAGGAGAAATTGGGGGTCTGGAGCAACAGGCAGGTGAAGAGTTCCTGGGGGCAGACTAGATGGTCTCCACCCCTTCCCTGTTTCCCCCTCCCTCAAAAGACAGAGGGGCCCTGAAAGGAAGCTGGTGGGTCTTAACAGGAGAAGATCCAGGCTGTGATTCTCCTCCTCTCCCCAATGTTGTAGCTTCACCCTTGAAGTGTTGCAAATAAGGCAGAAATTCAGCAGGTACTGAAATTCTTCAGCAATTTTGCATCTGATAGCAGGAAAGGATAGCAGGATTAACTCATGAATGCTGTGAAAAAAAGAGATGGGGAAGAAAATTAAAATATGCAGTAAAACCTTCAGTGTATAAGGTTTTTTTGGAGAGTCTGCAGGAAACACACAGGGTGGGCTTCCCCTCCCCCTCCCTTTTACCCTCCCAGGCAGGCTCAACCTTCAGCGGGGGTGGATGATGGGCAGGGCCCAGATGGAGGGAGAATCCACCCCTTTCAAGGAGGAAAAGGCTGCGAAGGACCAGGGATTCCTCCCCATCTCATCTCCGGGGCTCGAAGGGGGTCTGAGTTCAGCCGAGGGGCTGCAAAGGGAGGCTCCAGCCTGACCTTGACAAGATGGAATTCATCCCTAATTGGCTTAATTAGAGGATTAATCAAGAGAGGAGGCCTCCTTCCCCCCCTGCACAAATACTTCATCTGAACCCAGAAGATGGTGCTCGGATGGTGGAGTCAGAAATGGTGTCTGGTGTCCAGCCTGGTGTCCCTTGGCCGGAGCTTGTGTGAAAGGTCAAAAGGGGCAGTCAGGAAGGGCAGCCCACAAACTTGGGGTGCTCCCTCTCCCTCCCCCAATGGCCTGAATGGCCCCCCTCCTTCCCTTCCCTTTGTCAATTTCCCAAAATGAGGAAACATCCCGGGTGAGACTTTAGTGTTGCTTTTGTGTTAGTGTTGTGTTGTGTTGTGTCTTGTGCATTACATTTTGGGGTCCCCGTAAGGAAAAGCTGCCAAAAATCTTGGAATAGGATTTAGGGAGTCCAGAAAATCTTTGGAGGCTTCACAGGTCATTCAAGGCTCTTTCAGTTACTTAAGTTAGATTTTTTGAGAGAAGAGAGAAAGAGAAAAACTTATTAATTAATAGGGAATAGAAGAAGCTCACCTGGTTGTTGGATGGGAATTGCTAGAAAAAAGGAGAGAAATGCATTCAGAAATCTTAATGCGTGTTGTGTGCTTTTTTATCTTTCTAATATGACTGTTTTTGACATATTTATTGTTTTATATTTTGTCTTATATGATGCACCATCACTTCTTGGGGGAGGCCTTATAAATTTGATAAATAAATAAATAAAGGGCTGGAGCATTTATGGGGTCAAGCTCCCATTCTACAGCCTATAACATATGGCATTACATTCCCCCCCTCTCCTTTTTATTCTTCCTTTGAGTCAATGTTGACTCCTGGCAACTGCCTGGACTAGTCCCTGCAGTTTTCCTGGTGAGATTTTGGAAGGGGTTTGCCATTGGCTGCTTCCTAGGGCTGAGAGACAATGACTGGCCCTCAGTCACCCAGATGGCTTTGTGCCCAAGGCAAGACTAGAGCTCATAGCTGCTGGTTTCTACCCTGGTGCCTTCATCACCACACCAAACTGGGTCTCCTATCCCTTATACCCCTCCAAGAAGAAAAATGTTTCCAAACCAATTTCCCAATGAGACCCTCAGCCTTGGATTGGGTGGCCCAAGAGGACCCACCTTGCCATCTAGTGTAAGTCCTCCCTAGATGATCCCCTCCCCATAACTTCTTACCCAGACCCCCATGGACTCACCTTTCTTCTTCTTCTTCTTCAGGTAGAGGGAGAGCCCCACAGCCAGGAAGACCACCCCCAGCACAGCCCCCATGGCCCCTGTCCAGAGCTTGCTTTTGGCAGCGTTGGAGGAACGTGGCTCTGGGAAGGAGAAGGAGCCTTGCATCAGCAGGAGGATCAGGGCCAGCTTCCTCCGAGGGGGCCATTCTGGCTCAACACACAGGGAGGGTCTTTCCAGCCCCCCCCATCGATGACCCCTTCTCCGTGCAGGATGGTGTCCCCAGACCAGGAGGGCAGGGAAGGAAGGGAAATGCTTACCCCACTGGACAGTGACTGGGGCCTCCAGGCTGGCATGCCCCACCTTGCAAGTGTAGATATCCCCACGCTGGGGCTGGGTCTCCAGCATCACCTGGAGCTGGTAGGTCCAGTCTCCATTCTGGAGCTCCTCCCCAAAGGCGACGCCCTCCTTCTCTGGCTGCCCGTTCTTCAGCCACTGGACGTCGATCTCTGAGGGGTAAAAGCCTGTTGCGGTGCAAAGGAGGATGGTGTTGGGGGAACCGGGGTCCATCTTGGTGGGGGAGACAGTGATGGTGGGCTTGGCTGGAGGGAAGGGAGAAGGACGGATGTGAGAAATGCAACAGGGCCCAGGACAGAAGAGCAAGTTGGTCAGTTCAGGCCAAGGTCCGTCTTAGTCTTAGGAATGTTCTGTGTTTCAAGTCGCCTTTCCAAGAGTTTTGTTTGGAGAGAGGGAGAAAAACTTCACTTTACTCTTTTGCAGTCTTTGCTGTCCACTGCGGAGTCAGTTAAATTTGATTCTGGACAAGATGAGAATTAAGCAGATTTGGACCAGGCTCAAAAAGGCCATCAGATTACTAAAAAGTCAGTGATACAAGATTCCAGAAAATGAATAAAATCCTGCATGATCTGGACAATACAGAGAAAGAATCTCTGGATTGAAAACAGCAAGAATATACATTTAATCTCCCCACATCACACATATTCCAGATTCGTAGAATATCTCCCAGAAGAGACTCAGGAGGCATTTTCATTGAAGTAAAAATAATACCTTTGATGAGAGATTCCTCAGGAACAAATTACTGTATACTAATGGCAATGAAATTCATGGTGAGTGTTTTGAATTTTGTAAAAAATTATATTCTGTGCATCTGGATGTAGCTAGTGAGCAGATAAAGGCTTCTTAAAATGCAGCAAATCTTCCAGAAATTGTGGACATGCAGTCAGGAGACATGGCTGAACCCCGAAAGTTACAAAAATCGGTAATTCTGCTGATCTGGTGGAATCCAGAAAGGCCCCTGAGCCAGATGGAGTCATTGCAGGATGGTGTAAAAAATTCAAGGAAAAGTGCTTTTGAAGGAATTTGGGCAGCGTATCAAGCGTGTTTCCATGAAATTGAAATGCAGCATGAAACCCCTGAAGAAGGGACCTTCGAGAGGGCGGTTGGAAGCCTGGAGATGCCTCACGAGATAAACTCAGGAAACTGGAGCAATCTGCAGGTGATCTTTGGGGGCTTTTGGTGGCTATCAAAAATCACTAGATAAATTAGCGGAAGTGATGAAGTTCTATGGTAAATATTGTGGGAATGTGAATTAATATTATGAAATATTATGCCAGTTGACAAAAATGTTGTGTGGGTTGTAGGGAAAAGAATCACATTTTGAATATTATCCAGAAGGAATTAAATACTTGGAGATTATAGCCTCCAGGAACATATCTTCTTTGATAGATAAGAACATTTCAAACTGCATCTCTCAAATTTCAGAGAATATGAATTGTTTATTTTCTAAATGATTATGTTAAGTGACATGGAAGGTGAATATCCTCCTAAGTTTGCAGGGAAGAATTTAAGAGTGAAAATGTATATGTGGAGAGCAACGTCTGTGTTGAAATATTGAATTATTTATGGAAGGAGCAAATGCCCAGGATCTCCCTGTTGAAGGACTTTCTCTCCTGGGACGGTCACAGTTTTCCTTCTATGGAAGAAGCATGTTATTTAATTCTGGGGTAACACATTATTTTTGGAAAACGGGCTCAGAATGGGAATATTAACAACTCTTGAGGTTTTACCAAAGGAAGAGAGTTTCCCCAAAAAGGCTGAATTGGAACACGTGGAGCTAAAACACTTGATTTCCACAATGTTTGAGCTCTGAAACCCTATTGACTGATAGGGATAGATAAGTTTATCATTATGCAAAGAATTAAAATTACAAAACCAAATTTAGGCAATGTGTAGGAAATCTGGAACAGAGAATCAGGCCATCCTACATTAAACCATCAATGGCTTCAGGGTCTAATGAACATTGGATGTGTTTCTTATGACTGGAAACTCAATTCCTTCGCTAATTCCCTTTTTCAGACCTCTGGAAGTTCATTTTTTTTTTATCCTAAAAGGCCAAACACCCCATTTCTGGGGCCCGGGAGGAAAAGAGGGGGAGAGAAATGGACTCTTGGCTGGACAGAGGGATGGGGGAGCCCCTTCGATCCATGAATCAGTTTTGGGGAGGAGAGAGACATGGCTAGATTCCACCCCCAAATCATTTTTGGATCATTTTCTGGAGGGGATTAAAGGGATCCCTGATTCAGGGCAGGAGGAGAGTTGGGATCCTGGAAGGAAAAGAGGAATATTTTGTAGATCCGAGAGCGCAGAATAAATAGGGAGTAAATCTTTATAAGGGGGAACCTTAATGGAATGAATGAAAAGGGAGGTCCTGGCATCTTCCCCCCAGCAAGCCT